TAATTTGGATATTACATACAAATTCCCCCTCTGAATTTTATCGTTTTATCATTGGCTAATGCGCACTTGTATCTCTAAGTACAAACAGCCCATTAGCAAAGCCAATGAGATAAGAAAAACAGGAGATAACGTGTTAGCAGAAATTCACCCCTCACATCTCCTGCCACTCCTCAAAGTCATCCTTCTGCCTCAATGTGTGAGTCAGTGTTATATGCTTGAACATAGAGGAGACTGACTCATGCAGCCTAAAGTCATACAGAATGGGCTCACACACACACACACACACACACACACACACACGCACACGCACACAGACAGACCACAGATCCTGATGACACATTCAGTAACATGTTATCAGAGGACATTTCACAGAGGACATGCACAAAAAGACAAACGCTGATGTGATTTATAGTATCTGCAGGCTATGGTGAAAATGAGAGGGTCACCAGTCACCTCCATCCTCTCGCTTAAGGTCCTCTCTCCCTTTTACAACTAACACCTCAACAGAAGTGTGTCCTACCGCTGCATATCACAAACCTGTGACAACACAGTTGAGTTATTAATCATAAACAACTGTCAGGCCACCCTGCCACATGTTTTGGTTTTCTGTTTGAAGTCCCAGTTGGATGCACGGGCAAAGCAAACAGTTTCTCATGCATTTCAGCCACTTATCTTGGGCACACACGCACATCTTAATTAGCTATCAAATGATGCGGATCAAATATTTTTCCCTCTCAGACACGTTCACTCTGATCCTCTCGTGTGTAGCTTCCTTCTTGTTCTTCTTCTTCTTCTTCTTCTTCATGTCATGTTAAAGAAAGTGGAGATGATTAAAATTACAACTTTGATATTCTTATACGCTACATATATATTAGCATACTGTAAGGCGATGTTCTTTATTGTTCTTGTTTGTGTTTGCTCGTTTATGCACACCTCCAGACACTGAGAGAATACACAAGAGCAAACATCATCTAACAGAAAGCAAGATTGAGGTCTACGATCCTTGTTAATAACCTGCTGTCATATGCCTGAAGGAGAGAATAATTTATGGTTTCGGAGTTCTAGGAATAGAGATATAAAAAAAACAACTAGTGTGAAAAGAGAGGGAAGGATGGAGCAAACAAAGGATGGGCAGTAGTGGAGGTGATAGAGAGGCTTGTTGCATCCTGCTGTCGTACCCACCCCCTAATTGCTTAGTATTTATGGTGGGAGGAGTGGTATGTGTGGGCAACATGCTTCTCCACATATACACACCCAAAACCAAAATACACACTAAGAGATTCCGTCACCCTAGAGGGAGTCATTTGTGCTTGCAGGAGGTCGGTGGGAGGCTTTTACGGGCCGTTATGTAGCCGGCTCACTATTCCTGGAAGAGCGTTGGTATCTTTTGATCAAATTCTACGCCACTCTCCAGTAACCTGCTTCCTATGAATTGTTGGCTAATTGTGCCATGTGTGTGTGTGTGTGTCTGTGTGTGTTTGTGCGTGTGCATGTGGGGCAGAGATCTTTCTGTTCTTGATTGATTGTTGTCATCTTGGTGGATTATTGAGTTAGCAGCGAACGTGATAGGCTCACTACAGCATCTCAGAGGAGAGAATACACGTGCACACACACACACACACACACCCACACACACACTCACACACTCACACACTCGCACACTCATACATCCCTCATGCCTATACACTTATTTAATTCAATGACTGGTGGAAATATTTCAGAGAGAGGGTCCATGGCCATGTGTAATGAGTACATCAAGGGATCTAAAGTATGTGTGCTGGATGGATGGAGGTTCATGGTCATTAGCATGGCTATTGGCCTGTACTGGGGCAGCAGTCCATGTAGGAATGCATGTCTGCAGAGGACATAGTGTATGTTTGAATAAAAGTGAGTAGTGTGTAGTGTTGGAGCCAAATATATTAAACTTGTCTCAACAAACCTCAAAATTGTTCCCTTTTTTTTGTAAAAACACATCCAATTTACATTTGCCAAAGATATTTTACAGTTGACCTAAATACTAAATAATACTTGAGTAAAATTTTATTTTGCTGATTAGTTGAAGAAAAGATTAAAATGAGCTTCCCCACAAATTAAAATGTCTTTTTTCTTTTAGTACTAAGTACACCCAGATAAGACCTCGAGAATATTTGAATTCAATTTTTCAATTGGAATAAAAGCTGTTTGACAGATTTTGCAGAGCCTTTGGTTCTCTTTTTTTCCACCAAGGTTACCAGGGGACATTCGGAGCGCTCAGCTCTACTATCTTCAACATGAGAAGAAGAACTGTGCCCTATCTTCCGTCTGATATTGTGTAGCGGTAGCTACAATTAAACACTATGACTTGAAAAATGGTCATAGGAGGTCATATATACAGTATGGTTTGTATTACTTTTAGCTAACTATGTAGGTGAGGTTGACTGTTAGTGAGGTTGCCATTTTTAATTGTCATAAACAGGGGCAGACTGGGATAAAGGCCATTTGGAGGCCCGTTTTTCTATCTCATTTTGTTTTTACGGTCAGAGCTTGTACCATTTAGGTCTGCACTGTTAAATTAATAGTTGTATTTCATTAATTAAAATAATGTACTTACAGCACATTGAAGGCAGGTTTAAGTTGCTGCTATAAACCTCATCTATAAACGCACAGTTTATTGGTTTACATTGGATCCAAGGAATTGTCCTTGCTCGCCTTAAAGTTTTAATTAAAAAGTTAATTGGAATAGGTGTTTTGAAAAAAATATTTATTTCTTAGCAATATTATGTATTATCTGTTTAGCTTAATAGCTGGCCAATCTGAACTTAAAGTGGGTGTGAATGTAGCATTGTCGGTTTCAGAAAGTTACAGAAATTGTCGGACACGCTCTCCTCAAGGTATGGGGGGACAGGGTCTCAGAAGCTACTCAACCCTCCAATAAGCAGTTCTGATGAAGTGTTTTAGATGTCTTTACTGTCGGTGTTAGAGTCCCAGATGGTTGACCAGCTGATGGTAATGTCCACCTCTAATCATCTCAGCATATCCTCATTAATATCACGTGTCACATTTGTTTCTAACATTTGTCCTTCTTTGAATTTGACTGGATCGGAATATAGACTAAATTCTCATTAACATTAGGCCTTATGTTTTATGTCTTTACAAAAGGCTATTGAGCTATCTCTGATGTTTGTCCAGGCATGCGTCTAAAAAGCCATAGAGGATTAATTACTCCACAAATGTTGTCAATTCAAAGGAGGCAGTCCTGTAATCTCCCCAACCAATTTAACTGCAGCCTAGCTGCACCCCATCTTTGCTGTCGTCCTGTATTAGTTTTATTGGGCTCTCTAACCATGACCAAGAGCTGACCAGAAGATGTACGACTCTTTTGACTTTATTCATTTCCTTCAGTCCCTCTATCCAGGGGATAGACCGGGGTTATTAAGAGGGAGGGAGCTCAGTCGTTAAATGTTAACATATGTCCTTTGTGATTTTCTCTGGATTGTCTCTCATCTCTCCATTTATCTGTTTTTTTGCCATTTTTTCCCCATAATATTCTCCCCATCCATCTCAATTTTGTTTCCCAGCCATTATTCGTTCTCTTTTTTGTCCTCCTTCCACCGGAGTGAAAGCTTTATCTTTGAACTGCCGAGCTATTCCTTTACTTTGGTATGATAAGCTTGATGCAGGTCGCAGTTCACTCACCTCGCCCTCAGACGCTTCACACCCTGTCTGTGGAGTGATTGCCCTCCCTGTCTACGCGAAAGGAGTGTTCATTTTTAATTATCACTCAGTATTTGATCATTTCCCTCCCCTGCCTGTCACAATGTCTCATCGGGTTGCTGGTAACATTTCCATTACATTAAGAAGAGCAGCCATGGCTGTGTATCAAGTGTGTGTGTGTGTGTGTGAGTGTGTGTGTGTGTGTGAGTGTGTGTGTGTGTGTGTGTGTGTGTGAATGTGCTCGGCGGTGCGTTCCTATCATTGCAGCAGAAGCGAGATTCCTCCCTCCCTCATCCATCTTCAAGCGCTTGGCTGGAAATGACATGTCGACACACAACGAAACACATCGTTGCTTGAGACACACAAACACACACACACACACACACACACACACACACACTGGGAATAGAATGGAATTGGATTGGCAATGGAATTCTAATTAAATGGTTCGTGTGAGTTCCCCCCTCCCTGTATTTTCCCCCAAATGGCATGCTAATTGAGTTGATGCAAATAGGGACTCACAGTCTTAAAGGTTCAAATTGCTTTGTTTTGTTTTGCAGAAAATGTTGCACGCAAAGAGCTCAGGTAGAGGGAAGGGGGTGGAGAACAAAGAAAGAGGACATTATGAATGAATGAATGCATCTTCTTTATGTAAAAAGAATTGTCCTGAAACCACTGTAAACGTAGGAGTGGAAAGGGTGGGCCTGCATTGGGAAAAGTGGAATTTCTCTTTTCATTGTAGAGGGTTTAACTTTGCTTATGCATGAACATGTGCATGTATACACGTTGTTTGCGAGCACGTTTTTTAATAAGCGCCTAAGCTCACTGCTGTGGTATTATTAAAGAGGGCCCTTGCCTCCCATAAAGTTCCCAGAGTATTCACATTCCTGGAGGCCATTGGCAGGAAGGGTGGAAATGGTGAGCTCCTCTTTAGCTCAGCAGGGGTTGAATCGATAAATCTGTCATTGTTTATTTTATAAAACTTCGTCTTCACCTGTGGGTGCTGCCCACAGTCGGAGGCTAAACACTCAAGCTGTTCATGTCGACTCGCTCAATGTAGAATTGTTGGCCAGTTGCTGTGAGGTGAGAAGACTTTGTGTTTAGTAAACTATGAGGGCTACATGACCAAGTTGCCAGTATGTGTATGTAGGCTGCCAGTTTTCCAGGGCTATTTCATGGACTGTGAAGCTTTGGCAACCCTAGAACATTTCTCGGAGTACACTGTCGCAGCAGGAGAGGCAGTTTGCTTCCAGAACATGTCAACCTGATAACATTTGTCTCTCTTGTTTCTCTCTTTCACCCTTTAGGTGTTGGCTTTAGAAAGACAGGTCTTTGACTTCCTGGGTTACCAGTGGGCCCCGATCCTTGCCAACTTCTTCCACATTATCATTGTCATCCTCGGCCTCTTTGGCACCATCCAGTACCGGCCGCGCTACATTGTGGTGGTGAGTACACATAACTGAAGACTAGTAGTTCACGTCTGTCACATAATCCTATTCCTCACGGTTTTTGTTAAGCAGTGTTACATCACTTTGCATTAGTCCTCTTCCTGTGCATCTGATCTGACATGTTGTTGCCTTTCCTCTCTAATTGCAAAGTGTACTACACTCTCTTGTTCATTGTGCGACACCCTTAAATCACTCTAATCCCATGGTAATTAGGACTAATTAAAGGGGGGTGTGGGGGAGGAGGGTGTGGGGGGACTAAGGAGCTCATCAGATTTATACTAGTTTCTGGACAGAGAAGGTCATTCTTTGAAACACGGTGCAAAGCATGTGCTGCTTTTGTTTGAAAGCTCCAATATAAAGCTTCATAAATGGGTTTTTATGCACTTCAGTTTTTATTTGAAACCATAACATTCATCTTTGGCATTAAAAGCCTATTTTGAGCAGCAGTAGTGGAAGCACAGATGGTGGAATTAATGACAGGAAAAGATTGGGGGTGCGAGATCGAGATAGAGGAAAAGAGAGTAAATAAAGAGAGACAGGGGAGATGTAGAAGGATAAAGGGGAGCCACACAGGATCAGGTGTAGAAACAGAGGAAGCAGGAGTTGCAGGGAGAGGAAGGAAGGAAAGTAGAGCTATTGCCTCATGTCAAGTGGAAAATGGGAGAGTGCAAGCTAAGGGGTTTCGTGATTCAACATGTATGTTTTTACGAAGGTGCCCTCCACTCTTCCTTTGACATTTTAAACGCTCTGTTCATTGTGAGTCAGAAGATTTCACAACCTTTACAATGATGGCTGTCTCTCTCTCAGTGAATACCACCCCATGTCTGTCAACAGTTGGTTGTCTGACTGTACATTTTTATAAGTTGTTAAAGTCGTGAACTTAATTCAGCCTCAGTTGTTTAAAAACCTGTCGCTCCCTCAGGGCTCAGATAGACTTGCTGAACTTACTGGCACCTTTTAAAAAAAAAAAAAAAAAAAAAGTCAGGTCTTAGATACTAATTTATTTGTGTGTATGGTGTCTATCTGTATAGAGCATGCAGTGTTTGTTTTAATGCATGTGTACGTGAGAATATGTGTGCGTGTGTGGGAGGACAACTGACTTTATTTTCTTAAAGAGCTCATTCATTCATCCTACCCTTTTTATTCAGTAGTCATCTATTAAGTTCCATGAGGTTAGGCTAATCTGTCTGTGTCTTTGCCGTCCAGTATACAGTATGGGCCGCTCTGTGGGTGGCCTGGAACGTCTTCATCATCTGCTTTTACCTGGACGTGGGAGGCTTGTCCAAGGTGAGGCATTCAAAATTTCACTGTTTCGCTGTTTTCTCAAAATCTTTCATCATGCATCTGCCAGCCAGGTCTGGTGGCTTTATCTGTACTGTGATTAATGTTCTTTCCTGACTAAGGTCATGGTTGCAGGCTGGTGGGGGAGTGAAGCCTGATTTATATTCTTGTGTCCAAGAGTTGCGCCACCTACACTAGGTGTCTTCTTAGGCACGTTGAGAACCTCGTCATAGCTGACGTACATTTATACCATAGACACAGAAAGTACTTCTTTCTGATTGGCTGGCAGGTATTCTGTTTAAAACCTAAAGACAAATATAAGTTGAGAGTTGAGTCGCATTTCACTTCTAAAGCTGTGCAATAATGCTATAATATAAGTAAAGTGCTTCACTTTTTTAATGCTTTTGCCGAGAAATATGAGATCTATTTTTATTGCATACTGGAGTTTTGAAGCTGAATAAGTTCTACATTCACACACAGGTTACCTTAATCTTTCAGAGGGGGTCACTGCTGACAGTGATCGCCTCAAACATCTCTGCTTTCACCGTCAGTGAAAATATGTTCAGTTCGGTTTTGCCACCACAGCAATGGTGTTATCACTAGAGAACATGGCACATAAATCAGCTGGCAGATTATTCTATAAGAGGACTCTTTAGTGATACATTATCCTACAGATATATATACCTGCTATAGTTAAACTTTCACTGGGTAAAACAACTTATTTTGTGTATCTGAATCTGGTGCAGGTAGAGTTTGTTGATAGGTGGAAAAAATGTTTTCAATAATGGACACATTTGCCTTTTGTGATTCATAGAAAAGCAACAAGAACACTGAGTCTGAGTTTGTTTTTTCTCCTTAACATTTTCAGCTTTAATTCTGACATTGTGGCAATGTTTTTTATTACATCAGGCGTAACTGCTCCAATAAGAATTACTGTCATAAAATATAAAAGTATAATTGAGCATTCTTGAGCTTTATCAGCCCTGAACATACACTGTATTTTAGCTATAATTAGATATAATGCACCGCTTCCAAGTGCTTTTTGCCTATGTCAAGCCTGAATGCTCTGGTGTGAAAAACAAAGGCAACCCAAGTAAACATGATTACTTGCTATCTAATATGAATCCACCAAACTATAAATCACTACCTATGCTTTAGGAATCTGCGCCATACCCACCCACAACTGCCACACCTCAACAGAGATATATAATTTGGCTTTAATGAATGTCTGGGCTCCTTTTAAATTGTTTGTGTGGTGCATCTGTGCTGACCCCCATACACATACACATTTTTTAAAATCTGTATGCACACTTAAATTTAGACAACCTGGAAATTTATCCTTCCTCTCTCCTCCTGTCAAAGTTGTCGTCTCTCATTTATTTCAGACTGCTTCCTGCTCCTTTGATCTCTTTTAATTTATTCCGCGCATTTTGCTGGTTTTATATCTTTTTCATTTCAGCATATTCCTCTCCCCTCTTCTCCCCTCTTAGCTATTGATGGGTATCTCGCCCAGTTGCCTGCCTGACCATTGAGAGTAATGAATTCATGTAGGCAACGTTCATCTCACACCAGTTCAGACAGCCAAAATGGATTTCAGAAACACCTTCCCAAGCTCTGGCGACTTTGTCATTGTGTGATAGACCTTGGCTCCATCAAGTGTGTCAGTCTCTCACTGCATATGTCTACGTGTGTCCACTGTGTGTGTGGTTGTGTGTTCCTGCATGGTTCCTGCTAGAATAATGAGGCTTGTAGGGGCCAGCTGCTTGGGGCTGAGGCTGGGCATTAACCCGACAGATGGAGCCAGCCTGGGCTCCCAGCTCTGCATATGGTGGCCAGGAGGAGAGCTGGCTAATGGAGCACACACACACACCCACCCACCCACACCCACCCACACCCATGCACACATGCACGACCAAACTTGGCACATTCTTGCCTTCTGAGAGGTCCCCAACACATTTTATCATAAAACGGAGTCAGCTAATTCTGTCTGACTTGCCTCGACCGATGTTGACAGGACTGTTATGGAGGGTGTGTGTAAGTGGTTTGTGTAGCGGTGACAAGGCCCTCGAAGTGAGGGGGCAGGTTGTCTGAGTCATATGCCACATGCTCTGTCACCTCCTATTGATCCCTTATCCCCTCCCCCACGGTGCAAGACAGACTGACAGACAGACCCCTGCTACTCTACACACACCTCTGTTTCAAAGAGTCCCCAGTCATTCACTGCCTCGCTTTTTATTCATTCTCTCTCACACTCTGCGCACAGTGGCTGCAGGCATAGAGATTTTGGACATGTCTGCACGAAGCTTTCTGAATTTGAAAAAGCCTCCCTCGCTATTTTTGTATTTCACAGTCTGTAACTGAGCTTTTTGAAAATATTTTCAAATAAATAAATATCCAGCTTAGGGAGTTAACATGGTACACATCACGTTGGCGTGTTAGCATGCATTTAACTCAAAGCACTGCTGTGCATGAATACAGTCTCACAGAGACACCGGCATGGCTGTAGACATCTTGTATATAGACAGGGAGATTTGTTTTCACAGCCAGTACAACATAAAAAGCTAAACCTAAATTGATCTGATTAGGGATATCAAAGAATTCACATTCAATTTGACTCAATAAAATGCTATCAAACCCCAATGCTGCTCCAGAGTGAGTGAATTTGTATTTAGTGTGAATTGATTATTATGCCTAAACTGCTCCTGTCTCTGTGCTCGCTCATTTTGATTGCCAGTATAACTGATCACAGATAATACAGGTGTTATCAATAACATGTATTCATGTTTATTTTGTGAGCATTAAGGTTAAGGTAGCACTTATGAGCCATGATCAGATCACAGGTTTTATACTTTATTGGGTGTTTGACAATAGAAAAACATGTCTAAGCAATCAACAAAATTGTGTTTTCATCTAAGCACAATATGAGTGAAATACACAGTTTTACTGTTGCTATCCTCTGTCTCGCCCCCACACAGTGACAGCAGACTTTATTTTAGAGATGATGGCAGACCACCCTCCTCCTCTAGCTCCTGAATCAATATGCAACCACTGTGCATGCACACCTTTTATGAAATGTAAGTAAATATGAGAGACTCATCAGAGCCAGAGGAGTCTACAACACCCTCAGTTAGCTACTCAAGTTTGCTCCCTGATGTGATCACATAAATAGACAATAACGCTCTGTTGTATTGATCCTCATTTTGCATTCAATACACAGGATGAACATACAGAGGCACCTCTGACCAAAGTGTTTCTGCATATGAACAGTGAAGGGCTAGGTCAGCAGCCAGTATTTTGTAAACCACTGCATGTAGACACAAATAACAACATAAAACATTGAAAAAAATAAAGTCAAATGACCTTTTTCAAAAATAGAAAAAGTACACTGGCAAAAATTCCAGAAATATGACTATTACATCTTCCAGCTAAAGTGATCTTTGTGTCAAAGAACTGAGAGATGGGGGAGAGGGCAGGAATGACACAACATAAACTCTCTTCTCTGTATTTCAGAAACAATAAATCAAGAGAAATTAGATTCTAATCATTTGATGTTTAGCTTTATAGAATGCCTCATGTCTCTAGTGACTCCACTAACAAGGTTGTGTCCAAATATGTATTGACTTTTGTTAAAGAAAATAGTTTGAGCAGTATCAGTAGACTAACCTTGAATCAATGATATGGAGGGATTGATTTGTTCTTTGGGGTGCATTGAAGCATAACAATAACACTCCTGACAGTAAGTTGCCAAAAGCTTCTTGAATATCGACTGCTGACGTACAGCAGTTGTGAGTGAGGCTACAGCTTGGATAGAGATGGTTTCCCTAGCTCGCAGGCTCAATCAATGCCATCTGTCAAGTTATTAGTCTTCACAATCCTACCTATTGACCTTCAGCCGCCCTTGTTTTTGTGACTGTGTGAGAGAACGAAAGAGCGAGAAGGAAAATGGAGACAAAGGGTGATGAAGAGTGATTGTGAGTGACTCCTGTTGATTTTATTTCCACTGAATGCATAGATCTGTTGTTGAAAGTTGTTTCTACAAGTGATATGTTGTTGATGTGTACGTTGTTAAGTGTGAGTGGGGGTGGATTGGAATCAGAGATGTTTCCTGACAGCACTTGGCTCTGTTAATAATGCATGTCTTGTCACTGAGGGGCAGATGCGGGGGTTAGATTGCTGTATTGGGGTATTGATTGGTGTGAGCGTCTGTATGTGTGGGCTCATATGGCTGTGTGCAAATTGAACATTGCCAGGGTGCACAAGAGTTACATGTATAAAATGCTGGATATAATGGTTAAAAACTCACATACATCCAGTGGTATCTAGCCATAGTTGCAGATAGTTGTGGTTTTATCTGCCCTGGTTTTGCGATATATCTCTGAGAGTTCTGCTCCCCCACCTAAATACAGTTGAGGTGAATGAAGTTTCATTTGTAGTGCTCACGAAAAACAGCAACATCTATTTCATGAAACAACGTCCCTGTTACTCTGGACAAACCACAAAACACACAGTCAGCTGTTTTCATAGGGATTATTTATTCACCAGAAAGGGGTTCCAAAGGAAACTGTTGACTGTGAGGTCTGTGGATTATCCTGAGAAACACACACATACATGGTTTCTGCAAATACCCATTGCTGTTGTATGTAATTTTTCATCCTTTTAAGCACCACAAACAGAATTCTGTTCACCGCGGTTGTATAGGGGTGATCGCTAGCAGCATGGCTTTAGGTGATAGCAGTATCAGTCGAACCAGTGCTTTGATCCAGACTGAAATATCTCAACAACTATTGGATGGATTGTACAGACATTACATTCTAATGACTTGTGCTCTAGCACCACCATCACTTCAAAATTTTAATTTGTATGACCCTTGGTTTATAACCAAATACCTGTAAAAGTAATGACATTCCCATCAGCCTCAGCTGCACAGTGTGTTTAGTGCTACACAGCATAATGGTAGTATGCCAATCTGCTTAAGTAAGATAGTGAACATTATTCCTGCTTCGGAACAGCATGTTAGCATTGTCATTTTAATGCTTGCATTTAACTAAAAGCACCACTGTGCCTTAGTACAGCTTTCCAGAGCTGCTAGCATTGTTATAAGTCTTCTTTTGCCTGTGGTTTGTAACTGAATAAACCAACCCTCTGAGCAAAAGAGAACAGCCATAAGAAAAATCCAACATCTACCACAGGTGTCCAGAGATAAGCTCCATGCCTCCTGTACAACATGGTTTGCTCATAAAGAATGCATGAACGTACATCATAAGTAATGAATGGAGTCCAAGCTAAGAAGTTAGTGTTTTTCTTCTCCTTCCAGGACAGTGACCTGCTGACTTTTAACATCTCAGCCCATCACTCTTGGTGGAGCGAACACGGGCCAGGCTGTGTGAGAAAAGAGATGCCGCAGGCTCCAGGCGTCCGCACCACAGAGAGCCACTCCTACATCACTGTCATGGGCTGCCTCATGGACTACCAGTACATCGAGGTTGTGCATAGCGGCACACAGATTCTTGTTGCTGTAAGTACATGTGACTCTAGATTCTATTCACATACATATACATGTGTGAACATGTCACAGGAACTCATCATATTACATACTTAACAGTGGCAGCAACCTCCCTCACTATGGGATTTTATGTACGTGAAAGGTGAACATGATAGAAAGGAAGGTGATGTTTTTGTTTGCCTTCAAGCACTTTTCTCAATATAATTCCACAGTGGTCTGTTATTTTGTCTATCGCAGCCTCCCTTCCTCTGCCCCGGTCACCGAATGAAAAATTGATCTGTTGTTTTGTCTGGCTGAGACTCAGACCTGCCAGCTGCTAACAGGTTACTCAAACACTGGAAGGACTGTTATTGTCCTCTTTATACAGCTCTGTATGAATACACTCACATCCTGCCAGCATGCGCATTTGCACACACTCATGTATAACTGACTAACCTCATATTGGACGGGGGCCAGGATCCTCTTAGTTGCCAGCACAGCACGTACTTTGGTTCAGACATGCACATTACACACACTTACTCACAGTAGCATTCACTTACACAAACTCTGACTTCATTGCAATGTACATAAACACGCTCAAACCTATTTTTCACACTCGTCACATGAATGCATGTGGAGTGTGATTTAATGAAGGCTGTTGGTGACCGAGAGAAAGAGAAAGCTAATACACAGCAGCTTCATCAGCCTTCAGAAGGTTTCAGAGTCCTGTTGGTTTTCATTCTCATCATCTAATCTTGAACTGATTTACACCTTGGAGAGCACAGTGAATGCAGCTAACTACATGGTGGATTAGAAAACTAGCAGAAGAACCCAGTGTTGAGAAGCACTGGATTGTAATATTCATCCCATCACCCCATGGAGAAAAGTAATAAAATAGCTGACCTCAGTTGATAGCCCCAACTCTCACCAAACCTCATTAGCCCTTGCACTTTTGGCAGTGAATTGGTTTATTCCTTGCCTCACATGGACTTTTTGAGAGATGGCGAATCTTTCTTGCCAGCATTTTTACATGGTATTGTCCAACCAAGCATCAACAGCATCTCAGTGGAACAGCTCCCGAGAGGAGCAGGGAAATTGCTACTGAGATCCCAGCGTCACAAATGGCATCATTTTCCTTGTATCCTTGCTTCCTCTCAGGCTAAAAGCAGAGCACCACTTAGGAAAATGGAGTCCTTTGAGATGTCCTCTCTTGTTTTGGTGTGTCCTTTTTCCTCTTCGATGGAAGAGAGGCCCAGGCAGAAATAGGGAGTTGAAGGCATGAATGAAAAGAATAGAAAGAAAGTGGGGTGTCCCTTTGTCTTTGTTAAAGGGGTTTCAAGGTCGCCATGAGAGGCCATTAAATATTTAGTTTGGGCTCCAAGGAGCACGTTTCATTAAGATGAAAAATGTGGATCCATTGGCCAGTAATGGAGGCATCATTGTCATCTATCTGCTCAGATTCATCACGAGCTAGAAATAAGCCATTTAGAAGCGAAGCTTTAGATTTGGTAAAGTCAGCCCTGTGTTGTTGCCGCTACAGGCTACATTCACCCAAAAAGTAACTTCAAGGTTTAAAGGATGAGCTTGAAGTGGAGGCAACCTTTTCTAACTGGGATAATGTATTATTCATTGATTCATCACTGAGGGGAGTATTTTGATCCATCTTTGCCCTTATCTTATTCTTTGTTACCTTCACTGAAACCCAGCTCATCCATCCATCCTACAGAATATATTGCTATTAGATGTCTTTGGTTTTCTACTATTGTCATAATAATGACTGATTTCCCTGTCAAATGTAGTCAGCAGAAAATCCACACACACGTTTTCCCCTCTCGCTATCCTCCCATTATCCTGTCTTCTTTCGCTCCTGTGCACCGACTTCACTGTTAAATAAAACAGTCGAGTCTGAAAAAACATCACCAGTGAGATGGAGGGTAGTTAGGAAGAAAGGTATGAGTGGGGAGAAGAAAAATTGTGCAAGATGTGATATTCAGTTTACATCTGTAGATATAACTCTTACACACTAAAGGGAGTAGTGAGGGGTGTCAAGACGTTGTCAGGGCTGCTAAGCTTCTTATAAAACAGCCAGAGAGAGTGCGCACACACACACACACACACACACACACACACACACACACACACACACACACTCAGATATCATTTAGCATAGGTTATTGCTGCCACAGGCAATGCTTTCTTCTGTTGCCTCTCTATTCCCTGGGAACCTGCACTGAGAGGATTGTGTGGAAGTTGATAATGTGGGGAACGACAGTCTGCGTCATTCTCTTGTTCCATTCCTCATTTCCCCTTTTTTCATCTATCCTCCCACCATTCACAATCTCTCTGCTCTGTCTGTCTTCCTGTCTCCTTTTCCTGCCCAGAACTCACGCTGTTTGACCTTCATGTCGATCAAATTCCACCAAGTTAAATGACAAACATGACAGTGCACTTCTCTCTCTTCCCTGCGTTTCTCACCCACTGTCACTTTTGCTCCTTCGCTTGTTTTCTCTGGAGCTTACATGGTTCTTTCATGTCAGTCTACTATCGTGTTAAAGTGCGGCTTGTTTAACACCAGGGTTGTGTGGGGGACAAACAACGGCCCCTGGTTGATTAGAGGGGTCTCTTCAGCAGGCCTGGCGTGGGCAGACCCCTATGATTACTGCCCGAGGCTGTGCTTTCCTATATGGTCTGGTGTGTGTTTTGTGGTTGTTGAGGTTCACTCAGTTCAGCTGCATGAAAACAGCATGCCCCCACCCCCTCACTCATCCAAAAGGTCAGGGAGCTCTCTTTGATAAGTCCATTAGTCCATGTTGTGGTTTCAAACTCTCATGCTGAACCGCCATCGCCACTTTGGTGGATATGTCCTTTTTTAATTTGCATGTATGCTGCATGGGGAGCCAACTGGAGGGATCTTTGATGTGCTTGTATTTGAAGTCCAGTAATATGTCCAGAATCCAGTAAATGGCCATGCATTGTCTAGTATAATAATAGCATTAAGCACCTCTCCAATATGTCAGCGCTGACATTGCATTGTAACTGCACTGTAAGTTTTACAGCATCTGCTTCAAAGGATTATAAAGATCCCAGGATTAAAAGACTTACGATGCAGTAGTGAGCAGTTATTAGGTCTACTGGCTGTTGCCAAAAACAGGGAGGAGAAGAGAAAGACCTCAAGACCAGAAGAGGGAATTAGTCTCCAGTGGGCCACTGAATATTGTGTCAGGCTACTCGATACATAATAAAAACATGACTGTCCGCCATTATACTTCAAAGGCTGTCTCTGCCAAGAGCTTTAATTGTTAATCTGTTTGCAGGGAAATGGATTTTCCTCAGATTAATTTTGCTCCAATATTTGGTCTTTTTAAACTTACGAGAGTAGGCAAGAAGAAGAAGAAGTGGGAAATGAGATGAACTTAAGAAGTGGAAAACAAGCAACATTAAAGGAGTAAACCTTCTCTAGCGGCATGCTTGTTTTTCTTTTTGCTTGTTCAGTGAGTACTGGTTGTTTTATTTACCAGCCTGTTTCGCGCGTTTCTTGGTCCAGAGAGCCCCATTTTTCTCCCATTCACTAAGTCCGACCTCATCTAAAATCCTCTGTATGGGGCAGCATGCGAGGAACGAGCAGTGTTTTCTTTCTCCATGCAGCTTTTATTTCTGCATGGGCAGCCTTTCGTAACAGTGTGCCATGGTTTTTTTGATGTGGAAGATGCAAATCAGCACCATAGAAACCTAACAACCCCATGTGGTCCTATGTAAGCTATATAGTGCGCTCACATGTGGTGGAGGGGGCTGGTAGAAAAGAACAGGTGTATGTGGTCTCTGCAGTCCCTATCTCATCATGTTTTGTCATTAAACATGCAGCTGCCCACAAACGAACACACACATCTAATTTTCTACAGAGACGCCTGCTCCTTTTTGTGAGGCAGAAAGTCCTGTGTAATTAACCTGCAAGACAATTGCACCACCCCCTCTCCCTCTTTCTTTCTGCTCTTCCTCTCTCCTATGTGACATATTTTACCTACGAATTCCTTTCATTATAGTACACTTACTGAATTTTCAACTGACACTGAGCCACAATCAATAGTGTGTTAATTAGCTTGTAGATCGACTCAGATATCCATCACTGCGCGCGCACACACACACACACACACACACACACACACACACACACGTGCAGAGGCCAGTGGGCTGTGGAAGGGAGGCATGTCTAAATTCATATGAAGTCATAATTCTAAAAATACAGCTAGATATAGAATATATACACTATACAATTATGAAATGATTGATTCATCTATTAATTAATTAATTTTTTTATAATTGATTAGAGCCCCTGACCTTTCCTTTAGTGCCATCATCACGTCAACATTTCAATTTGTCCAGCGAGCTAAGCTAATATGGTAAACAATATACCTGCTTAGATCAGCATGTTAGCGTTGTCATTGCTGGCCTGTTAGACCTTAGCATCTAACTGCAGCTGTACATGACCATGGCTTTTTGCTTGATAAATTTAGTTTATCATAGTAACTGAAAAGAATACACAGTTCTAATCATGAAATAGATTCATGTCTAGTGGACTGATGTTGCAATGTCAAAGGTGGTTATGTGTCTTTATGGACTGGCACATTTAGTATAAACCTGACCTTCATTAGCCTATGCAAATACAAGTAACCTTCTTTTCTAGTACAGCAGCTGGCCTTTTTCTCACCCACACACACACACATGAATGCCTGAGCCTTGAACTTCTTTTCGCCCTCATTATCTAAGAGAAGAAACAGATAATGCTGACCTATCACAAATACCTCCTTTAGTTTCCTCTACAACGTTGTAAATAGTAAATGAAGCCCCACTGGAAGACGGCTTTGCTTTTGATGTTTTCCCACATCGAGCGCTGAACTTTTTGTGCCCAGTTTTCTGTTTACTTGCTTCCTTCTGTCACTTGTCCAGATCACCGTTCACTGCTCAACCACCGGCAGAGGAGGAGACAGGAGAAAGGAGCATGGCACTTACTGTTAGAGCAACAATAAAAGACGGACACATCTATGGGTGGTGAAATAAGATGACAGAGGAGATCTGCAGATCGAGCGGTGATGTGGAGATCTGTGTATAGAAAGTGACTAACACAAAGAAAAAGTTCAGAGTGAAAGAAAAAAAAAAAGATTGACAGCTAAATGATTTGGCTTTGGTGTGGCATGTCCTCATAGACGGACTAAGATTGAGCCTCAGAGGACATGCGTGGGCTTTATGAGCTTAATTAATTTGACATTAGTCTCTAAAATGATCCCTGAACTCCAAGTGACAGGGGGAAGTCAGAAAAAAAGCTGTGGACTGTGTGTGTATGGGTGTTTGAGAGAGAGAGAGAAAGAGAGGGAGAGAGGATTTATTAGCATTATTTAAGGCCATTTAATATTCACGGATATATAAGTGGAATTGTCACTTTTTATTGAGGACACTGACCTATATTGGCTAAGGGCAGCAATGCCTCCAGCAAAAAGCTACTGAGTTCACTTCTCTGATCATATTAACTCACTGGTCATCAAACTAAAAAGTACCGAAGCCATAGAAAGGAAGACTAGAAGACGAAGTGGTTTAAGATCAGCCCATGGTTGGACTGTCTCAAAAGGAAAAGTGGACACGAGTGAGTATATTATAGACCACGCGTCCAGACTTTCTTGCTGTCAGCAGTTATAAGCCGAGGAGTGAGAAATTACTGATTTCCCATTACTGAGCAATGACAGGCACAAGGTTTGACATATACTGATTGAAGGTATTAAATTTCATGAAATTTCTGGTGTGTTGGATTTGTCTATTCATAACTGCTATTTATGAGCAGGGAGACTAAAAGTAGCTACAGTATCTACGTCGTATTGTGTGGTTTTTATCCTCAGAGCCAATAGCTCGTCTTTAGATTTAAAATTGCCTTTATATTGTTTCTGTCCATCTTTGTGATATCCCTGGTTGTCAAGAAAACAGCTGTAGGAAGTGAGAGCTTCACTCTTTCCTCCCCTCCATTCTTGTTCTTTCTCACACATGCATCCATAGAGACAGGTGACAAATTAATGGAAAACCTTTAGTAAATTAAACATAAGGAAAGCCTGTACACACACAGGGTCGCTGAATGGTTTGATGAGCAGGAAAGTGATGTGAATTATATCCTATGCTATCATATGAACACGTATAGGAGATTTTAGACCAGTGTGTTACTGAGTGTTGACTAGAAACAGGTTTCAGGTACCTGTGAGTGGGTGAAATACAAAGCAGGGGTCTATTTCACCAAATTTGCAACTTGCAAGCTGAGACTTGCAACATGAGATAATTTCCTCTCACTTTAATTGTGACAAGTTTCTCTCATCAGAACAAACACCACTCTAGCGCCGTGAAGGTCTAGAATTCTTCTCCTATTTGCGACCGACCGCCATTTGTGAAAGGCGATGTTGACACCATTTGCCGTCTGGGGGTCAGCACAAATTGCCTTTGTGAAACAGGCCCCATTAAGGTGGTTTGAGTAATACATCCCCAAGTTTAAAAACTTACCAGACACTAAAACACTGAGCAGCATTTTATGATACTACAGACAGGATTTTACTACTCTAGTAGTTATCATGGCAGCAATTATTTTGTCCTCTGTCTCAAAGATCAACAGGTAAACAGTAGAATTACCCTGTTCATGTTACAATGTAATCTACCAGGAATGTGCTCTTGCATGATTGGCAAACACAGTGTGTTTCCATACGAAGGCACATTGCATTGCAGCAAAAGTGGAGCTAGGTTAATTTTTTTTGGTCGACCCTTTGTGGTTTTTTTCCGGTTAATTTACACTCCCGCTTTGTCAACACAGTGGTATCATTGAAATGAATGAGAGGGGCTGTGATTTTCTACATAGGATTGTTTTTAATGGCCTGAGCATGGCCTGATACCATATTCTCCACTACAACCATCAAAACACCAATTGAGAGAATATATTTTGGAAGAATGCTGGTCGTCCATCCAGTGGAGTTCCACACTTGCAGCCCTTTATGAAAATTAAACAGACGTGCACTCATGCATAGATATTAAGTCATACAATCACACACTCTGTGCACACTTTCACAGGAAAAACACACATGGGCACACACAGACACAATGCAGTTGAAAACAGGGTGTGCCCCCTCCTGTTAACACCATCTTGTGTTTGACACTGGCTTTATACATATGCTAATTCACCTCCATTTCACCGCCACTGTAATGGATGGGGTGAGACCAGCAATTAGATACTAGAGAGAAAAAACCGAGTGAGAGAGAAGCATAGAGAAGTTATGTATCTTATCTAGCCCACACAGAGACAGACCCATTTTCTTTTCTACTAGACTCCACACCTGAGTTTCATTCATAAATAAAACATTTAATCTACATCTGGATGAACTTCAATAAAGGCCAGATGTATTGTACATATGAAAAACATAATAAAAGCCAAATGATAGAAATGAAAGACCTGCACACGGCACATAATCTTTGTTCCTCTTATAATTACATAGGCCAAGTTAAGTTATAGGTTGAATGAATGTTACATAAATAGTCACCATCACGCACAGTCAGTCCCCCCTTGGGTTTTGTGTTTGTGTACCCAGTGTGCGAGGAGGGCAGCGTGCCCGACGCTGTTTTAATTGGCATGGCAGAGTGCCAAATGATGGATGGAGAGCTGGGTGGAGAGAGACTGTCTCTCGGTGTCTGTTTCTGAGTCGATGACAGCCATCTGCCAGTTCCACAGGCTATTCTCAGCACTGTGTGTCGGAGTACAGTCACTTGTGTGCTCGCTCTGTTGCTTTCTGGTGTGTTTGTACATATGAGCTAATACTGTGTGTACACTCTAGAAGCCCTGTCAACTCAGAAAGCATTGTCAGTACAGATATTACAGTAAAGTAGTGTAGTAGTGCTAATAGGTTATCACCTTTTAAGTTGATGTGACACATTTTTTTAGCAAACCGTTACACATTCATTGTCCAATATTCAATCTCGTTGTTGCTCTAATTTTGGCCTGCACCAGGGGAAATGTCTGGCTCTTCAGCAGCTACATGCTCCCTTATCTTCACCAGCTAGTCACTAACTTTGTGTGTCTGCTGCTGTGTGGTGCTGCTGTTGATTAGAGCGGTGAGCCTCAATCAAAACAGCAAAGTTTTGGGCAGGAAAACTAAAACAGTGAGCTGAAAGATGAGATAAAGCTCTGTGTAGTTGAAGAGGCCTGCGGAGTCGGGTGATAATTGTGTCTGAGAATTCACATTATACGTTATATGTTTATTTGATCCATTATTTAAAAAATATTGATTATAGCTACTTTAAAGGAAAATAGTGTAACATTTAGGAGGATCTATTGGTAGAAATGGAATATACAATTCATAGGTATGTTTTCATTTGTGTGTAATCACCTGAAAATAAGAGTTGTTGTTTTATTTACCTTTTTAGAATGAGCAAGGTCCTTTTCCACGGAGGCAGCCATGTTGAACCGCAATGTTTCTACCATAGACCAGAATGGAAAAACCCGATACTGGCTCTAGATAGGGCCTTTTGCAAGTTGTGTGTGATTTCTCCTACGTGCTTGGAATGGGAGGGTGAGGCGAAAGCGTAATCTGAGATTCCACTAAATCCTACACACTGGTCCTTTAAAGCTGCAACTAGGAATTGTTTATTTTCAATTCATCTGTTGATTCCTTTTTGATGATTGATAAATTGTGTAAACAGAAAATAGACAGAAAATGTTGTGTTGCTTGCTTTGCCCAAAACCTAAAGATATTAAATGTACAATGTTCTAAAACCACTCTTTATATATGGTTGATACTATTGCTTGTTTATTAAAACTGTTTGCTGCTCATTTTCTATCAAATAATCAATTTCCACTCGTCCTGCACAGTGTTTCATCATCCGCCCGCTGGGTGATCCCTGAGAGCACACAGCCTCCGTCTCTCAAATGAAGGCTGTATCCCCCCCAAAAAACTCACTCTTTTTCCAGATGCTCTGTGTGATCTTTTTTTTGTTCATCAAAGCAAACACACAGCTGTTTATCAACTGCACACTGCCAGCTCTTTGGAGTCTAACCTCTCCTGTTTGCTTGTGTGTTCACAGCTCCTGGGCTTCGTGTACGCCTGTTATGTTGTCAGCGCCATCACTGAGGAGGAGGACAGCTGTGAGTCGCTTAACCTTACCCTTACACACACACACACACACACACACACACACACACACACACACACACACACACACACACACACACACACACACACACACAAAAATTCTTGAGATGGAGCATTGTATCAACTAATGAATCACACACACACAGACCCACTCACACAGATGAGATGGAAGACACCAGGGTTGAGGAGAACAAGGCTATACCTTTCTTCATCTCCCTCTTCTCCTATCCCACCCCACACATCACCGCTCCAGCTTTCCCCTTTCTGCCCCCCCTCCCCCACACCAGCTGGGCCCTCTCTCTCTCCCTTCAGAACCAAAGGAGCCATGTGTTCCCTCTCCACACCTCCTTCAGCCCATTCTTTCCTTTCTCTTTCACGTGTTACGCTTGTCGCCTCATCTCTGCCCCTCGTCGGTCTGTGTGGTCCTCGCTGTTGTTTTAAACCTCCTTTAATGTACTCTGGCTTTCACTTTTCTCACTTTCTTCTCTCCGCTTGTTTGTCGGTGCAGCTGTCTGTTGCCTGGTGTTTTTATGCAGCAGGATAGAACCTCCCCCATTCCCTCCTTTGCAAACACACACACACACACACACACACACACACACACACACACACACACACACACCTTCCCTCCTCATGTCTGTCTCTCTTGCAGCTAGTCAAACATGTACATCCTTCCTTTGAAGTGTCCTCAGTGTTCAGTCTCAGCGCTCTAGATCTTGTCTGTGTCGGCGTATGTTCGTATGTGTTAACCCTTTTAACGTGGAGTCAGACGAGGCCAAGAGTTAGCCTTGACTGTCATGATATGCATGAAGGTAAGGGTGTGGAAAAAGACGACGGGGGATCATGAAATGAGTCAGAGGGGAGAAGGAGAAACAGGAGACGGACTTGTGATAAATGACCCAGCTGCTGTGACCTCATAGGCAGCAGGTCAGAGGTCCTGCTGGAGGTTAACCAATCAGAGGACAGGGAACATTTGATCTAAGGGTCAGTGGGAGTCATAAATATCTGATTAGTGCTGCAGTAACTCTTCAGGATGCGTAGCAGTGACCACATAACAATCCACCTTTAAACATTTTGGCCTTGTAAATTTTACCCAGCGCTGTGAAACCAAGTGGCTGAATGGAAAAGCTCTCCCTGTGAGGATTAGCTTAGATTAAATTCTCAGGTATTCATACTAATTGCAAATTATCTGGAGCCTGGCTGTAATCATGTCAGTCCCTTTTGTAAGAAACCCAAACTCTAATTTGATTTGAAAACATTGTAATGAACAAAGCACTACACGCCGCACTAATTGCATCTTAAACAGCAGACTCTTGTAATTTAGGCGAAGCGTGATGTGGCTTCCGTGTGTGTTCCTGTAGACCAGTGATGTAGAAGTCCAAGCAGTTCTTTGGTGGTCACATACCAGAGGTTCACTGGCTGTGAGTGGTTAGCGTCACCACCCCACCCCTCCCAGCTCTGGGCAGTACCACTTAATCACCAGTCACCCCTAAGTAATCCCTGGAGGGCAATACCATTTCAGCAGGAGTTGAGTCAACTAAAAATGAAAAAGACTTTCCAACCTCAATGACATTTCCTTTTCCTTCTGTTTTTGTGACATTTGAGCTTTGTCCATCCTCCGTGTGGACTGCTGCCTCAGATCGTGTTTGTTTAAATTCACAGTGGACAGTCATCAACGCTAAAAAACAGAGATAAAAATAACAAGAGCAGTACAGAGAGGTTGGTTTAAAAAAAAAAAAAAAGTTTGGGGTGAAAATAGAACGTTGTGATTTTTATTGGTTTTAATTATCTGGTAGTTCTTCTCTGATCCAGGCTCTGCTGGAGTAAAATGCTGCAACATCGCTTCCAACTTCTCCCTCTTTGTTATTGTAATGAGCCCTTTGCCTGCACGCACGCACACACACAAACACAAACACACACACACACACACACACACACGTGTATTTGTTCATGCAGACACAGGTGCAGAGACACACACGCTCATAGCAACACAAAAACCAGCTAAGGCACTTTGCCACTCTCATTTTCCCCTCTCATTTGATGTGTAGATTAAAGCAGGTTTCTGCATTGAGCTCCCTGGCTGCCTCAGCATCTCTCCTCCTACTCAGAACTTTTCCGCCTCTTTACTTCTCCCTCGTATGCTTTATTTCTCTTTCCGGTTTCTTCACAGGTAGATGGAATGATCAGGTATCAAAATCCAATTTTTGTGCGTTAAAGAAATCTTTGTTCTCTCTCTGTCTCTTCTCCCATCCCTGGCTTTTGGAGCTTTAATGAGGTGTGCTTGTAAAAAGATAGAGGTCTCTGGTCACTCGTTGTATCAGCCTCATTAAGCGCCTTGCTGGTTAATAACTTCCACAGCTGATTGCACCTCACCAAGAGAAGAAAGGTGGGAAGAATCCTCAGGAGAGACAGGAAGAGAGGCAGGGAGAGGAGGAAGGATGAGGAGAGGAGTACATGAGGCGAGCAGAGGGAGGTGTTTGTCAAGAGCAGGCCGAGGAGGTGAAGAAGGAGACGGGGCAATATGCAGGAACAAACAATGCAAGACAAGATGAGCTTTTCACGAATAAGGAGATAAGACAGGAATTCCTCTCACGCCAAGCACTCTCTCACTCTCCAAGGAGACGAGTGAGTTAGATTTGAGTGCTCAGGCTTGCGTAAAGAAGAGCGGAATGAAACATAGAGACGTGCACACACACACACACACACACACACAAGACACAATGGGAAGAATAAAAAGCATCATATACCAGCAGCTCCGGGTTTGACATGACTTTCATGCGTTATTACTGATAGTGTGTGTGTGTGTGTGTGTGTGTGTGTGTGTGTGTGTGTGTGTGTGTGTGTGTGTGTGTGTGTGTGTGTGTGTGTGTGTGTGTGTGTGTGTGTGTGTGTGTGTGTGTGTGTGTGTTTTCTGTGTGTGTGATCTTGCTTTTGATGTGACTTCATCTCTTCCTCTGTCACTTGTGTTAGTGCATGTGAGCGTACATACACTCCTACAGTAGGCCGCCTGTATCCATGCGCGTGTGTTTAGCTGATCGTGTGTGACTGACTGACTATGATTGCGCGTGGGTGTTTGTGTGTATTTGTGCATGTGAATTTGTTACACAGAGTTATCGGTGGTGAGCAGACACACCGACAGAGTGAGTGGTGGGGAAAATCCTCTTTGTAAAGTAGGTCATGGAGTTAGAAGCCTAGCGCCGGGATAAGCTTGCTTTAGCATGTCTGCTAATTATGCTGCCGCCCTCTGTGCTGAGTCACATCCCCAGAAAATCCTCCACAGCAGACGGGGAAATCGGGGGGATGGATGGATGTCGAGGTGGCAGCATTGTGAAAGAGTGAAAAGGTCAAAACATAAAAAAAAAAAAAGAAGCCTCAACCTGTTATCACCTCGAAATTTTATTTAAGCTGGTGTCAAACAAGTGGAACATAAAAATAGCCTGAAAAGGTCTTTTTGATGGTAGCAGGAAAAGCACAGGGTTTAAAAAATAGAATGAATGATGGCTGAATTCCATTTAGCTGCTCCAGTTTCAGGGTCCTGGTATTGTGCATTGCTGGCTCACTGTCACACTGTCATGGCCTACTGGGACACTTAAATGTAACTATGACAAAATGTCAAAATGTATGCTGTGAAAAAGACATGTATTCAAATAACCGCTGCAAAAAATATCCACCTCAAGCCAGAGATATACTTGATGTTTAACCACGCTTTGCATTCATACCTGTTGACGTGTACAACCAACGGACGTAGGAGGCAGCCCTGATGCGGACGCGAACGTGTAGTGAAGTCTATCTACAGCCTTAATTCAGTTGTAAATCGTTTTACTCTTTTGTGAAATAACATGCCAATTGTGTGCAGAGCCTTTGGGGCACAGCCACACATAAGCGAAATCAACATTGGCGAATGTTTGCTTTCTGCTTCCCGTTCACTTCCACTTTATGCAAGCGAAGGGGCAAAAAAATAAGCAGGTGGCAAAGCACATTCACATTTGCTTCGTGTGGAGTTCAACATCGGTAAACTTTGACCGGCGAAGTCCTAGCCTAGTTTATATAAAATTCGTTGTATGTGGTTGACCCTTAAAATGAACAACAAACACCTTACCTGTGTGGCACATCCTACATTGCCCACCTTTAACCTCAGCAGGCAATTGTCACTTGCCTGCATTTGTGCATGTGTGACTATGCCCTTAAGCTGTATTTTGATGCAAAGTTTGGGTAGAATAGAAAATATTCTAAACACAATGTGTTCAGTTTTCACCAAATCACTTAATCAGCTAGTATTGCTGTATCACAGTATTTGTACATGCTGGAGCTATGTTCAGTTAAACGTTTGTATGACAAATAGATAATTGGCAGTTGCAGTGACCAAGACACAAATAATGAGGGTTGAACAGACACCAAGTCACTGATAGTGTTTCTGTATTTGTCACATTAAGGTTATGACCTGTTCATTTTCATTTAAACCTAATCCAACCAGACACACTTTCCAGACCAACTCTCCTGGTGTATCTTTGCCGGGAACCTTTCTCCTCTTGCATGGATGATTAACTTTAAATATACTCTCAATCAAACATACCTGAAGTTTTCATATGCAAAATAACTAAGCATAAAATACCTAAACTGGTCTTTAAAGTAAATGAGTAGCCTGTATAGCAATGATGGCTGTGTAATGGTGTGTGAGGACAGAGATGCAGTACTGCAGAATGGAGCCAACTATGAGGAGCCCCCCTTAAAGTGTGTGTGTGTGTGTGTGTGTGTGTGTGTGTGTGTGTGTGTGTGTGTGTGTGTGTGTGTGTGTGTGGGGGGGGGGGGTGTGTGTGGTGTGTGTGTGTGTGGGGGGGGAGACAAAGACAGAGTGTGTGAGAGAGACCACAACTGTGTCTTGTTACTTACCTCTTACAGCATTACAGACAGGCTCTGAAGTCTTGAACTACCCGTCTGCCCTTTATCTCTCTCTCTCTGTCTTTGTCTCTGCCCCGTATCTCCCTGTTTTTCTCCATCTTCCTCACACCACGTTCTTTTATTCTCACAAACCCTGTTTTCCCCTCCTGGTCTTTTTCCTTTTATCTCTGTGCCTGTGTTTCATTTCACTGTCAGCTCGCCAACCCCTTCACACACAAACACACACACGGTGGCAGATGCTGCAGTATACTGTAGTTTGACTCTCACTCTTCCTCCTGGTTCACAACACGTCCTCTGATTTCAGCTTGAACTGAAACATAATTGTTTTACGTTACTCGCTGCTTGTTTAGGGGCACCACATAGATGCCTTAACTATTGAACTATGAAAAATACCTTTTAACCATTTCATCTAATCAGCTTTTTACATTCATTTTCAAAGTGTTGTTTGCTGTTTACAGAGCAAGCGCAAAGAACAGATTCTTTACAACATTATACTCTGATTTTATAAGCTTTGGGTTTCAGTGAGCTTCGTAGAAGATCCACTTCAAGGTCAGGGTCAGACCAACGCGTGTAATAATTAACGGGAAAAGGATTCCAACAATGGAGATGCAATTAATAGGCTGACATACACTCTACAGTATGTAGGACGGATGGAGCACAAGGTTATAAATGACGCTTTTAATAAAGTGCAACAGCTAATGTTTTGACACATAGGATGTCTCATTTTCATAAGAGCAGTTCGGTACACCTGTTGAGGCTCAGATTCTGAACTTTAGGATGGTGGATACGCGGTTATCTCTCATGCTAATCATGGAGTTGCTTTTCCTGTGAATGTTGCACAAGATACATGACTGGAATTTGACTACTACTTTTCAAGGTATTCTGTCATGAACAGAAATTTTGACCTGTTCCGCAGACAGGAGATTTTCATCATCTGGGGATTTTTTATGTCTGTGCCACATTTCACAGCAATCCATCCACTACTTGTCATAATACTTCACTCTAAGCCAAAGTGTTGGATTGACAGACTGACTGATGGATGGACCGACCGGCTGACGCTGCCGTCCCTAGAGCTTTCTAGTGTGTCTAAAAATGGCAGCCATCATTATCATCTAACTGTATTCCTCAGCACAGTTTATCATGGCAAGGGATGGATCCCCACCTGCTTATAATGAGAAAATCACTGGTACAGAAAAGATCAGGGAAGAGGTCTTTGTGTGTGGGTAGGTGGGTGCTGTGTATGTGTGTATCTGGTGAACAGATGAAATGGAGAATCCCAGGGCAGGGTCAGACGAAAGGGACAGACCCCCACCACACACAACCACCCTGTGGCTCTCTGCGCTCATCCTGCCTACCTATCAGTATTCAGCAGACCACCCCTGCCTCCTCTTATCAGGATGAAACTGATTTGGCCTTACAGTAGTTTCCATAGCTGGCTGGTGTCTGTTTCACCCCCCCACACAGCTGTTGGTCCTCAAAAAGTAACAGATCTGCCCATTTTTTTTGTTACCCTTTTGAACTGTTCTGTTTGTTTGCTGTCTTTTTCCACTGAATCAGGTTCAATCTCAGTTTCTCCTTTTTCTCCCCATCATGGTGTTTACAGGCTTTACTCACAGCTCCTGGACATGCTGGCCTCTTTCACATGCACTCCTTCAGCGTAATCTCTTTGGCCCCTCTGTCAGTCAGACCGACATGCATGAGGCGGCCCCTTCCTCCCCCCCCTCCCCCTCAGTCCTTGTGTCCCCTCATGAGCCTCGAGCCTTTCCCTTCATCTCAAAAATATCACTCCGCATCTGTGAAGAATACACAGCACTTTGGTTGCCAGCACTTCCCTCTCTTTCTCACAACGACATAACACTCGTTTGCTCATCTGCACTTCGCCTCTAGTCTGAACTCTAAAGTGAGAAAATAAACAGAAAGCGCCGGGCATCCGGTCGGTGGCTGAAGGTCACCTCTGTTTCTGAGCGATAAAAAAGGCTTAGGCTATTTTGACAGCTGGCCAGCTTTCACCTGTTCCCGAGCTTTCCCTCCGGCTTGGAGCAGATGCACAGATGAAGAAAAAAAAAGTTAAAGCAGAGATGTTTTTACTATTTCTTTTATTTGTTAAGTTAAAACTAAACTAGGACGTGTACAGTTCTTGGCAAGCTGCCTACCTTTCAACAGCCCTGCATTGCATATGTTCCCCACTGTGTCTTTTGTTTCCATTTCATTTCTCATTTCTTTTTGTATCATGCATGTCTTTTTATTTACTTCCATGTCTTATTCTGTTGTTGTCTGTCTTTTGATTTACTCCATAATTCATGTGTTTTAATCCTTTGTTTTCAGTTGATTTTATTGGTGGATTTGACCCATTCCCACTCTACCATGTCAATGAGAAACCATCTCACCTCCTCTTAAAGCCCATGTACCTGTAAGTATGAATGTGCTGTCATGCCACTGTATGTGTATGTATCCCTGTGTGTTTTAAATGCGGGTACATGTGGATAATCACATTATCCATTGCCTTTTTGTGGTCATAAACAATTGAGGTTTTATGTTTTTGTTACCTGCATGTAATTGTTTCCCCTTGAAGGTGACATCCCCTGATTTTCCCTGAAACTATGGTATTATTTCTTTGAGTTCAAAAATTAATCTCAACTCTTACTCGCTTTTTCAAGGACCCTTTAAAGTTTGATCCTGATCCAGGTGGCTACAAAACAATGCTGCCTAGTAGTGATCCAGACGTTTGCTCAGTATATGGCGGTTTGAGTCATGTCTGGGGAGTAGTTTCTTTCAGAAACATGCTACATCCTGTCAGAGGGCTGTAGGGAATATGGATGCCTTTCATGACGTTGTGTGTTTGTGTGTGTGTGTGTAATGTACAGTGTCCTCACGCTGCAGGCAGTTGCTGATAGAAGCACATGGAGAAAAACATACAAAAATCTGTCTCAAATTGGATTAATCAATTAAGTTGTGCAGAGAACTTAATAACAATAAGCCTGGGAAGTCATGTAATAATTCTCTGCCAACATGAAATGAATATTTTATTAGCTTCTTGACAGTTTAATCAGCTCCGTCTCTAATGGGAGGGAAGAAGTTTTCGTCTCCCTGCTCTCCTGGGAGTTATATCCTGGAGAAATTCATCCAGGAAAGTGTGTGTGTGTGTGTGTGTGTGTGTGTGTGTGTGTGTGTGTGTGTGTGTGTGTGTGTGTGTGTGTGTGTGTGTGTGTGTGTGTGTGTGTGTGTGTGTGTGTGTGTGTGTGTGTGTGTGTGTGTGTGTGTGTGTGTGTGTGTGTGTGGAGTTGCCCAACAACCGCTAACCCTTCGCTCTTTCTGCCCATGTTTCTTCTCTCTGTAGGTCTACGTAAATAGGAGAGTGATTGTCCAGCAGGGAGGTGACACAGCAAGTTCCCACGGAGACAAAATGGCTGTTTTGACACAAACGTCCCACTGCACGGGGGCACGCCACACATTCCTCCTCTTCTTGATTTTCAGTACTATAACCATGTCATTTACTGGTGTGCTGCCCAGAAAAGCCAACACTTCTCAGTTAGGGTTCATTGTTTTCCAGGGAGGGATGACGGGTTCAGGGAAAGGGGGATTACAGTGCAACAAAGACTCATATTGTGTGTTTAGGGACGTATCAATCATTTTCTTTGTGTTAAGTTCTCTGCTGAGGTCCCATTGCTGTGACCTACCCATAATGGCTTAATACTCCCCAAGAACATGACTGTATAGAACATGTACAGCATATAAATACATTGTGTGTGTGTAATCAGGGACTGCCCAGCATTCCCAGTCTGTGGTACTGTGTCTTAGAGGACTCAGTGATTTAGCATGTTTTTGCTGGTTTGGCTCAGATCTTGGCCGGAGGGCTGAATTACAGTGGAGCCTGTGGAATGAGCTATTGTGCGCTGCCTGTTTACTTTAGGCCAGGATCTGTGTGCATAAATACACAAGCAAAGCAGGAAAGAGGCAGGGGAGTGGAGAAGTAGAGGGAGGGGAGGGAACAAAAGCACCAAACCTACAGGGGAATCTATCAAAAATAGAAAATGTAAATAATGGAAGGGGCGGGGGGGATTTTGGATTCAGAGTTTGAAATGTGAACATCAGGAATGCAAAAGAGCGTTAGCGTGTAAGAGGTGTTCAAACACAAGGAACAGCATGTGAGTCTTACTTTTATTTCTGGAGTCTTATTATTGTGACAGTTTTCACCAACAGCCAAGTCAGCGTTTCTGAAGTGTCAGGTGTTTGTTAGAAGACGTGCTGAAAGCTTCACTTCATTTCTTCTCCTCCAACTACTGACACATCAGGGCTGCTGACAGGGGTGATCATTACACACACTCAAGCAAAGGTTACAGAGCATATTTTTAACTTCAAGAAAACAATAGAAATTGTTTTACTATTCATATTGCACACAACAGTGTTGAGTTGTATGGGTATGGTCTTCGGTGTAGAAGTAGCTTGGATAAACCTGAGCCAACCAGAGCATCGTCTTCTGTCATTTCAGCAGTTTAGATTCTCAGTGGTGATAGTCTCAGTTGTGATTGTTTTATAGCATGTTTTATACAGGGTTTGTATTGTAATTATGTGTATAACATATTAAATAATGACAAAATAGCAAAACTGATGTCTTTAACTTGTCATATGCGAGCTGGTTAAACAGTAACTGGAAGCTTCTGCTGAGTAGTTTCTTACTCAGATTTGTTTTATTCTGACCCAGCAACCTGAGGCATCTTTATTTAGGTAAAAGTAAACACGTGAGTCATATCTCCCATGTGATTATTTTGTTTTGTTAATATTAGATCTTTCTGAATTAAAGTCAGTTTGAGTCAGATCCCCTGTTGCCTTACTGTTTGTGTGAATCACTACTGCTCTCTGGTGTTCAAAGTGTTCATATACAGCTTGCAAGGCTACTGAGTTTCTGCCACCTGAGAGGTATGCTCTCTCATTTATTGTCATGTTTTGTCTTAAAATGATTTGCCTGTCTGCAGGTAACAGTAAATCTTAAGATAGTATGTTTTTACTTGGTATTTGTCATGTAGGAGCAGTCAGCGCTTTGCTCTGGTTGTTTCAATGTTAAACTCAGTTCTTTTCTTTATCATTTAGGTTAAGATCTTTCGTTACCCATGACATTTGAATCCAAACCATTTTCAGTATTTTAGTTGTTTGATTACAGTATTTCTTGGTGCTAAGTTTGATGTTGTCTGCTTAGCTTATTTTTTGTTTGTAATCAAAAAAGTTGTGATCAAAGAAGTTGCTTTTTGTACTGTTTTGTCTGTTGTCAGCACCTAAAAATATCCCGCTGGGTGTCAGGTTCCTCTGTGATATTAGATGTTCTTCACTGCCAGATAGAAAGTCCACAAACTTCTATGATTCTGAAAATCATCTGACTTCTGCTGGCTAATTTCAGACTGATGAGAGTGAACCATTTTGATTTGATTGGTCACCTCTCTATTGGCAAGATGCAATAATTTATGTCATAATTGTCTTTTATAATTTTAAAGTTTTCACACTCCTGCTAGGCTAACTGGTGTGTGGATTAGTTAAAACGCAAAGCACCTCATATTGTAACATAATCAGTATTAGTAGTAAATGCTACTAAAATTGTTGTGTAAAAACTAGTCTTCCTCTCAGTGCAATACAGCCTCTTCCTAAATCCCCAGCAACTGGAATTAGTTTAAACCTGTTACGGTTGTGTATGTATGTGCTAGTCTCCACTGAAAAAGTTTCCACCTGTTTGTAGATAATTCTATTTCTTTGTATAGAAAGTGGAAAACATCCTTTTTTTGTATTTTCTCTCTTCTATTTTGTGTCCTGTGATGCCCCAACCCCATGTGACCTGATTGTGTAATCCTATTTATCCAGAACTGTGCTTTGTGTTCATGTAAATAGGTGTTTGTTAATAAAAGAATGTGCCCTTTTAATGATCTTATTGTCATAGCTGCTGTTTGTGAAGTGCACTCTCTGACTGCAAAAACATTAATACACACATACTGAACAGCTTAAAATGTTTATTATAGAAAATTATCTGTAAACAAAAAAAAGCAACCAGCAAAACTCTTTATTTTCTTATCAGTACAAGGGGAAATGAGTACAGTAGAAAACTAAAGGCCACTCATGCAACACCTGTATAGCAGTGGCGTTTCATTCCAGCCTTAGGACATGAAGGCTCGAACACTGCCTCTAATGACAGCTCTGCAGATGGGGCAGTGACGCAGGCTGGCAGCACAATCGCCACACACCACCAGATGACCACAGGGGATGAAGACGATGGACACCAGTTTGTCCATGCACACCTTACAGGTCCTCTCCTCCTGCAGCTGCCTCAGCAGCTCCTCTGGACTGGGGTCCTTCACTGTTGGGGGACAACACACACAAATGAACACCCAGACTATGTAGAAGCTAACTGTTGTGTTTTAAGTGTAATTGCTGCAGGATAGAGGAATCAGATGTCCACAGCTCAATGGTGTGATTGATTATGAAAAGTAACCACAAAAAGTTGCAAGTCATTTAGGCGTTGACCTCTGACCTTTCTCTCTGATGGGTGTTTGTGTCCTCACATTTCCGGCACTGGAGCCCTGCCTCATCTCTGGCTCTGAAGGACACAAACAAGCGAAAATACAATCAAACATATTATGAACCTAGATACCCATTGTAATTTGAGTTATTATTACTTGGAAATTAAATTGCTCATACTGAGTGAAGTCACACTCCTCAAATATAACCGTATGTTAAATTAGTAACTGATAAGGTCTTGTTCAGCATGCTAATCCTTGATATTTCTGGTTGGTTGTTACTAGTGGTCGACTGATATGGGTTTTTCAATGGCCGATGCCGATATTTAAAGAGCAGGGATGCCAATGGCACAAATATAACGTCAATATCAAAACAAAGAAATGTATAGTTCTATAATTCAGGCATATTTTTATAGCAAGATGCATTAGAGTTATAGTACAGGGCTCTAAACCAACTTTTTCACCACCATCCCAAATCTCACAAGGAAGAGCGCTCACATTGGTCCACAGTAGCCAAACTGAAAAGGCTGCCTGCGGACGTGACATTTTTTGTTTATTGGCCTTGTAAGCGCAAACGTTGGTTGATGCAGATTATCTCAAATTGCCAATTAATCAGCCTGAGTAATCGGCCGACCGATTAATCTGTCACTTGCTGTTACCTCTGCTCTGTGGCCCCCTCTGTCTGTCCTCTTGCTCTGCCTGCAGTACGTCAGTGACCAGGTCAGATACAGAGGTGTAGTGCTGGCCTGTTAAAAGGTACTTGGTTTGGACCAGGCTCTCCACTAGGCCGGCTTCAAAGCCCATCTGCAGCACAGTCTGCACCACAGGAGAGAGCATGGCCGAGGAAGCTGCCAGACCTCCGACCATATCTGAGAGATGAGAGGAGGGAAGGAGTGAGGAAGACCAGTGACCGCCCACGGATAAGTCAAAAGAAAAAAACATCTACAAATCTACTAAGATGTTTTATAAACTAATAAGAAATATATTTGATAAGTGAGGAAATATATGACAAATAGTGCAGCTTACCTTTGTCTGTCAATATATTAACATTTCAAACCACAGACCTTCTCTGTATATCTGCTGAAATGGATTATAATTGTGATTCCTTCATTGTATGGAATAATTGCCCTCTCATGACTGCCCTGCATCCATGAGCAACAGTCAAATGGTTTCCATAGCGCTCCCTACTTACTGCAATCCTATCGCAAACATTAGGTCAGGTAATTGAGCATACAGGTATTTGATTTTCTGCAGCCTCCCAAAGAGAAGAAATGGATCTGCTTAGTATCTGTTTCACATCTAATTTCAGATTTTAAGCAGTGCTGGTGCAAGGTCCATGTTTCAACCAAAGTGGTTGGTCTAGGTTGACATAAGAATAATTGAATCAGCTTGTTGCAGCCTTTATTCTCTCCATTTGCCAAACCAATGTAATGCAACTCACAATGTTTGCTCTACCTTTTCCCTTTTGTGTGAACAAGCAAGAGTGGATGTTGACACTTTGATTCATTGTGCTTCAGGATACACAAAGATTATTATTGGCATCAAAAGTCTACTTCGTCTACTTGGTAGGAATAAAGTTTCTTGACATTCTTGGTACATACCCATCATTCCCTGCCTTGTTTCAATTTCATATGACTTACCATTTCTGGATCCGATATCTCTGCCTGTGGAGGTCTGTGGTCCACCCTGGAAAAGTAATCGTATTTTGAATTTATAGTGAAAGTCATGAATGATTTTAAATGCAGCAATGACATCATGTGTGATGGCTGCTGTATGCCAAACAGATTTTATTCAGAGCAGATAAGAGGGATAAAGGCTCTCACCACAGTCTCACCCAGATGGAAATGAGCATCCTGTATGTTGCTGATATACTCCTGCCCTCTCGATTGGATTAAAAACTCACATCTGAGAAATATAAAGATGCCTTTTTTATAATCTGCTAAAGCATGAATGCAGAACACAAAACAAGAACTTGACACTGTGTTTAGAAAAAAAAACCACATTTTCATTTGCCAATGTATAAATGGGCAAATGATGTATTCAACTGTCTTCATAGCTGCCTTGTGACAAGTCCTGCTGTTACCGTGGAAACCACTTGGCATGTTCCTGCCAGGGGTCGTCTCCTGGCTCCCAGTTCCTCAGCCCTCCGTCACAGTAGAAGCATTTGACGTTGTCGCCGTGACCTGTCAGGATGTACAGGACTACTGTGAGAGGAGTCTAATGACGGAAACTCTGGGAATCTGTACTTTACAACAGAACACAGAAACTTCTCTTTTTACACAGCCTGTGTCCTAAATGAAAAAAAAAGTGGCTTATAGCCTTCATGCACAAACTAAATAAAACCTGTAAAAATCACACTAAATGTGAATCAACTCTTCTCTGACACAGCCTCAACAAAACTAACACTATTAGCTTCACAAACAGACTACTCATTGTAGGGTTACCTTATTTGATGGCATTATTTTGTATTAGTTTTCATGATATTATGCCCACTGCCCATGTATTGCCTGAAGCTGAGAAACCCTAATTCTTTAGCAGCCCCAGCTTTGTCCAGGTTGTTCTGTCCACAACATCATGACTCAGCAGGACAATTGTAGCATGAACTCTCTCACAAAGAGAGGTCACTCTAGCAGTGACTAGGTCAGTGCAGAATATTTCACTGAAATATACTCATGGATATTCAATTGTTGCTCATGAAATATTAAAGAAAGCAGATGATTAAGATATACATGTTTTTAGGCTATTTAGTAAGACAATGAGCACCTGTGTAGAAAAATCCTGCTCTGGAGAGAACATCTGGCTGGACTGAAGCCTCAGTGGGCCAGTTGTGGAAAGTGGTGAGCCGGGAATCCTCCGCCTCCATCTCTGGGTAGACCGCTTGTCCAGCTGTCCCCTGGTCATCCATAGTCATCCTCTGGAGTTGACTCAACAGCTGGCCGTCCACAGAGTCGGAGGATCCAACTTGGATCGGAATATTTCCCACAGCTCGACCCAGTATGAAGCTGCAAGTGGGGAAATGCCTCTTGTGCTCGACGGCTGGGCTGTCCCCGTGCACCCAACATCTTAAAATCCCTCCACAGCAGAAACACTGGACTTTATCCCCGGGGCCTAGAAAGAAGAAGCCCGCCTTGGCCAGGTCTCCAGATGTGACAGGTGCATCTGCTGGCCAGTTCTGAAAAGTTCGAATTCTCTCCCCTTCTCCTCGCATCTGAGGCTCCTCAAGGATGTGCAGCATAGTACTCCTGTCATCCGTCATTCTGGGGCATGTAGGTTTTCCTTTCTCTTCTTGTCCTGTGCCAGTCATCCCTTTTGCGGTCCATAGTGGAGCGCGAACTGAAGGTGAGTGCAGCACACCAGCTGAAATAATATGATCAGCTGCGGGGGCCTGCACAGCGGCCTACAGGAGACTGCTTTCCAGAAAAGCCACCAAATGCCAGAATGTATGCTCATTGATCCTTGAATGAATGAAAGCCTGAACATGCCATGTTGCTCCGCCTCTTAGGAAAAAGGCTAACAATGTAAAGCATTTCAGAAGCATACCATGGCCTAAAAACTAATGTGACTATTTTTAAAAATACCATTAAGAACAGGGGAGTCACTTTAAAGCTTCCAATTGAATAACAGGAAACCAATTTAAACTTTAACCATACAAGAATACAGGGAGTACTGTGGTGGTTTTCCATTAGGGACATGCTGGATTCACAGACTTTATCTCTTGTAGGAAAGAAAACTTAACCTTTCAAAGTATTACAAGCCAAAAAAAGTTTTCTTGTATATCCTATAAGTGCTGACTCTGATCTTTCTCTCCATTGGCTGTTTGTGTCTAGGATGTCTATTCCCTTTGAACTTGAGTTTGTAAGATTAATAGTGAGATTGAAGGAGTTAAACACATAAAACAGTACGCTGTGTAGTCCTACTTGTTCTGAGGAGGAACAATAGGCTTCCATACTCAAAGGTTCAGGGTGAACCCTTTTATCCTTGTTTGTGGGACCAGGGGCGGATCTAGAGAAATATATATAGGTTAGAAAGAGGGTGGTGATTCTATCACAATCACATAAATCAATATAGTGAAGATATTTAAACCCAAAATATCTAATTATTGTGACACATTAGTATATCACTAAATAGACAAGTCTAAAGGTGGCATTACAAATCAATAAGTTGTTTTATTTCTTCAATCTTCAAGCATTTTCCAAATATAAGCATTTTTCTTCCAACACTTAGTCCAAAATGTGGCATTAGCAGATCATTAAAATGAACATCTGTTTTTTAACACAATTTATTTTTTTTTATTAATTGAAATTAATCAGTTAAATTTGACAGCATTTGACTTCAAAATGGGGTGACAGCTGGTGGCCACTGCTCTAGATCCACCCTTGTGTGGGACTTGTGTGCACCAAAAGCTTCTGAAGACTTAAATCATATAAGTTCTGTCTATAATGATTATAATACCAAGAGGTTTTATCTGTTGACAACATATTTTGCAGTTTTAGGCTGTTAATATTTGAAATAGCCAATCATGTAAACCAATTAGGTTGCAGCCAATAAGCCACGATTGACAAAAGTCAAGTCAAAACATAAATTATCTGCACTATATTGTTAGTGAGTAAAACAAATAAAATAAATCATTGTGAAAATTAAAAGCTATAAACAGTAAGATACAGGTTTGACCTTTGACAGACTTTACGGAGTTGTGGGTGCATCATTGCTACCCCCTGGTGGCCAAAGAGAGTAACAGCTACTTCAATTTATTGCAGGCCATAATCTGTGTACTGCATGCATGTCACTGAGAAACTGGCTGAACACACACACAGCTTCAACAGTCAGCTTTTTCCAAAAGAAATCCTATTCAAAGTCGACATTATGTCTATCCATCATTGTCTGTCTATCTCACCAGCCAAAAACATCTGGATGCAGGGTGGACTGTAACCACATGAGACATTTGACTGATGTCAATCATTGCACAGTTTAAGATTATTATAACCTTGTTGCACAAAGTGGCATCTTTTACATTCCAGTAAGTCTCACATGAGGACCGAGCTGAACTGAACTGTTATCAGAAGGGACCCTGCAGAAAACCACACAGTCTGCTGACGGACCCCCTGGCGTTGTTTACACCCACAGATAATAGCACCAATGTTAGAGTGGAGTGCTTTTATTTATTTATTTATTTATTTATTATAACTTCAGTGTTTATGAGTTGGATTAATTTGCTCCCTTTGTATTATGCAAATCACAGATATTAGCCTCATTTCACTTTGTTAAATAGAGAGGATGCTCCAAAACGTTTGCCACCCCGCGGGGAACGACGTGAACTGCAGCGGCGGCTCAAAGCCCGGATGGAGCAGCCATTGGGGAAGTGTACAGGGCTTTAACGTAACCGAGGAGGGCTATCTCTTTCTCTCTCTCTCTCTCTCTCTCTCTGGAATAATAAAGACAAAGTAAAAGGCGGCCGAGGATAGAAATATTCAAGATCCGACAGATCCACTCGGCGACACTTAACGTTAACTTGAATACCTGCATTAAGGACTTGACTCGGTTCGGGCACAGTATCCGAGGCGACAGACTTGAACTGTGGAAGTTGGGATACGTGCTACACAGCGGAAAATATACAGCTGAGCCTGCGCTACAACTACTAGCCCTCACGCTAAGTGGCACAACTAGCCACACAGCTAACTGTAACACAGCTGTGAACTTGCTTTCAAATCACGGGGGCTTGAAAATCCAGTCACAAGCCCAGGCTCTGTGAGAATCCAGGGACTTGCTTAATGAATTATGTCTGCCACAAGCATTGACCCTCAGGTAGGAAAGGCCGATTTACCTCGCCTGTGAGCTTGCGAGCTAGCTACCTGCTAACGTTACCGATGTATTGGGCTACGGCTATTCCTCGGAAGTGCTAGCGAGTTAGCTACATTGCGTTGAACGGATAATGTTTTTAATGGGACATTTTTAAGAAAGATGACACTTATATGTTGGCATATAAAGAGTTGCCAGGCGCAGCTTTAACTGAGACCATTGTGTTTGTGCCTCTAACGTAGCAGAAAGAAACTCTCCCCACCTTTGGGTTGAATTCGTGAAACATAATGCTAACGTGAGAAGAATTAAAGAGGTTCAGGCTAAAGTAACTTATTTCAGTGACTCTTTAACTTTTATAATGAAGGTGTTTTTAAGAATTCCCACATGGTGTCTAGGCTGACCCACATATATTCAGCCTATTAAGGGAAACTATGTTAAAGGCTATATTAACGCTATTGGGGTTTGTAAAGCCATTTTAAGAGGGCTAACGTTGCGTTAGCTAGCGAAGTTGTGTGTGAATTAACGCTAACGTTAGCTGGTCGATCAGCTAACACAAAGTACACCCCAGTGTATGTAACGCCAAATAAATGACTCCAACTATTTCATACAACTGTAAGTATCTGCAGCTTACACTGTAGAGTAACGTTATGTAAAGTTAGGGTTTGCATTGCCCTCATCTTCAGGAAGTAGTCTGAAGGTTCAGCTTCAGCAAGAGATTGGTATCATTAGAGACTTGTTCTCAGTCCAGACGTACGTGTGTGTGTGTGTGTGTGTGAGAGAGAGAGAGAGAGAGAGAGAGTGAAATCTCAGATGAACTTAAAATAACCATGTGGTCTCCTTTTTCTTCTTTTCACGGTCCAACATGGATGCAGAGATCAAAGGGACAAGCATCTAAAGGTGTGTTGTGGCATTACACAAGATAGTTTGTTTGGATATCTGGTCAATCTGGGCCTATCTTTTCCAACCAAATCAGCATTGCATACACCAGCCTTTCATGGAGTCTTAACCTGTCTCTCATATTAAGTTACACTATTGTCAGGGAACACAATTAATGTGCCTGAGTCTTGGCACAGTGTGAACAAAAGGTACAAATTATATCCTTTTCAATAATTGGCGTGAGATATCTGTTCCTTTTTAAATATGTTGGTGGACTGTATTGTAAATATATATAGTATAAAATGAGTGGGGGCAGCATTGATAAAGATGTGTGCAGTGTCACGACTGTGTGACACATTGGAGTAAAACATCCAAAGGGAGGGAGGCTCATTACTTTATTTCTCTGTTTACTGATTGTAGCCATAATGATAAGTTTGCCATGATGCTTATGCTAAGTTGTCCTGTCACAAAAGCTTGTTCCAATCATATTTATATTTCTCTGGATGAATAAACTGGTTATATCTTAATCATCACCCTGAATAGGCATGCACTTTAGTTTTTGCACAGGTCCACTGTCTGGTCCTAAGTTAGTAAAAGTGGTTAGTCTCACTCGTCCCTCAATCCCACCACTAAACCCTAGTTTTAATTAATTTAGTCATAATTCATTGTCAGTTCCTCACTACTCATTTACTGTTGGCAACGGCGTTGCTGTGGCTTCATAATTGTATTTTTTATGATGTCCAAGTCATCTTAGATTTACTGCAGTTGCTGGATGAGGTGGAGTGACAGGCAGGTCTCGACTCACTCCTTACCTGCAGGCCTGGCTGGCTGTGGGCCACGGGCTGATTCACCTCCAGGATAGGCTTGTCTCAAGGGCCATAGGGCTGTCTGACATGGCTAACTGATTAAATATATTTTTTTTTATATACATAATTTAAGCCTAGGTCACATCATTTCAAACTCAGCACAACATGATATATAAAACAATGATTGCTATTTGTATCATAAAAAGAACATCCATGCATGTATATTTAAATGTACATTAATGTAATTCTGTTTTTATTGCAGTGCAAAATGGTTCACTACATCAGAAGGAGACTGTCCATGACAATGACTTTGAGCCATACCTCACTGGTCAATCAACTCAGGTAAAGCTCTATATCTCTATCTGAAGAAAATATAAAGTATAGATTATGGTTTAGAACTAGATCATATGGATCAATGTCACCTTTTTTGTGACTTGAGTTTTTTGTAATATTTAATTTTATCAATGTGTGTCTCAATATGGTAAATGATGAACTAATGCTCTAAAGCAGGGCTGCTAAACTAGGGCCCACGTCATAAGGTTTGTAGCAAGAAAGTAAAAGAATATAAAATTGCTGTTTTATTTATTGTATGGTAACAAGTGCTCTTTAAATATGTAGAATTAATTCATTATTGTTCATAATCTGAGCAAAGCAGGCCGAGTGACACTTTGCACAGGAAGTCAGTCAATTAAGGGATTAAGAACTTGGGCTCCATTTTGCATTTACAGTAGGTGTTTGCTTTTGGCTGTGACCCACCATAAGTTTCAGTTTTGGCCCTCCAAGGGAAAAAGTTTGTGCTGGTCTAGGCACTGAACTGTGTTCGACTGTTAAGCATTACAAAACTCCTGTTATGTATAACAACAGACATTTGTAGAAACATAACATGAAATGATTGAATAGCAGAGCTGTATTCTGATGACATTAAGTTTGTTAAATTTTTTTGCTTAACCATAAAATGGATGCATATTAAGTTAGTCACTCTTGTTAAGTGAATTAGAAATCCATTTAAGATAGATATTGTATATAGAATAGGCCTAGGAGAGTTGTATTTAATTCATAGATCTGATTTAAATCAAACTGTGAGTCACTTGCTAATGTTGGGGCTCTGCTGACCTTCATTCATCCAGAACAACAGCTACCAGTCCATCACCGACCCCTACCTGTCCAGCTACTACGCCCCCTCCATTGGATTTCCATACCCCCTCAGTGAGGCTCCCTGGTCCACAGGTGGGGACCCCCCTATTCCATACCTGACTCCCTATGGACCCTTGAGTAATGGAGACCATCACTTCATGCCAGACACAGTGTTTGGCCAGCCGGGGGGCCTGGGAAGCAGCATCTACCCTCACAGGTTTAACTTTTTCCCTGAAAACCCTGCCTTCTCTGCTTGGGGCACAAGTGGCTCCCAGGGCCAGCAGACTCAAAGTTCAGCTTACGGTGGCAGCTACAGCTATCCTCCCAGCTCCCTGGGGGGCACCCTGGTGCCTGATGGTCAGACAGGCTTTCACAGTGACACCCTCAACAAAGCCCCTGGTATGAACAGCCTCGAGCAGGGGATGGTTGGTTTGAAGATCGGAGGGGATGTCACTGGCCAGGGGTCAGGAGTCAAGGCTGTGGGATCTGTGATTGGTGGACCTGCGGTGGCAGCCACAGGGAACGGAGCCACACCTATTGGAATGCCTCCACCCAAACCCACCTCCTGGGCTGCTATTGCCAGCAAGCCTGCCAAGCCGCAGCAGCTGAAAGCTAAAGTGAAACCAGGGATGCCCAATCCAGGGGGGGCTCTTCCCCCTCCACCCATCAAACACAACATGAACATTGGGACCTGGGACAAGGGCCCAGTGACTAAAGTAGCCACAGCTCCACTGCAGCAACAGCAACAGCCTCTTGGCCTGCCTCATGGTTTGCCACCTCAAGGCCCAATGCAGCAAGGACACATGCAGCCCCCCCCTCCCCAGTCTATGGTGCAGCCCCAAATGCAGCCTATGGCCTTACAGCCCCAGCCCCCCCATCACCAGCACCAGCACCAGCACCATCAGCCACCACCTCAGCCCTACCAAAACCACCACGCCCAGCCTCCACAACCCCAGACCCGCTGGGTTGCCCCACGCAACCGTAACCAAGGCTACGGGCAGGGTGGCCCTGGCCAAGATGGTAGTGGTATGATGGGTATGGTTGGTGGTGGGAACAGTGGACCCCAAACTTCTGCCAGCCAGGGACCTGGTGCGGAGTCCCACCCAGTGCTGGACAAGCTGCGTGCCTCCCATAGCTACAACCCCAAGGACTTTGAATGGAACCTGAAGAATGGTCGTGTTTTCATCATTAAGAGCTACTCCGAGGACGATATCCATCGCTCCATCAAGTACTCCATCTGGTGCAGCACAGAGCACGGCAACAAGCGGCTGGACTCGGCCTTCCGGGCCATGAATGCTAAAGGCCCCGTGTATCTGCTGTTCAGTGTCAATGGCAGTGGTCATTTCTGCGGTGTGGCAGAGATGCGTTCACCAGTGGACTATGGCACCAGTGCTGGTGTTTGGGCACAGGACAAGTGGAAGGGCAAGTTTGACGTGGACTGGTTGTTTGTAAAGGATGTGCCTAATAGCCAGCTGCGCCACATCCGCCTGGAGAACAACGACAACAAGCCAGTGACCAACTCCCGTGACACCCAGGAGGTTCCTCTGGAGAAGGCAAAACAGGTGCTCAAGATCATCGCCACCTACAAACACACCACCTCCATCTTTGATGACTTCTCCCATTATGAGAAGAGGCAGGAAGAAGAGGAGGAGGTGCGCAAGGTAGGTACAGTCATTTCAATGTGTTATCCTAAATACACCTTATATAATTACTTGGCACCTTGATTATGATGAGTGTAAACTTGATCTTTTGTGGCTCAGTTTGTGTCTGAGAAACTAATTCTTGTTTTGTTTTTTTTCTTCTCTCCGTTTCCTCTTTATTTGCTCTCTTTGACAGACTTTTGAACCTCCTCAGATACAGAACCGCTCTCGGTTGGATCAGGTAAAGCACTGTCATATTTTCTTGTTAGTGTCATTAGTCCCATGTCTCATTGTCCCATGAGTGTTGAGGCCTTTTTCTGACAGCTATTGATGATTGCACTTGATGGTATTTTTCACACAGTGAATATGAAATTTTAGAATCTAATATTTGATCACCGCTTTAAATAAATATAGACTTGTGTTAATCAAAGTGTTTAGCAACGTTTGTATGTCTGATGTTATTTTTTTTGTTCTTTTTCCAAACAGGAGCGACAAAACAGGAATAAACAATAGAAGACATTTATCCTTGGCTTGATCAACAGTTACACTAGGACTTTTGATTTAAGAGACAGAAGAATATGAAAATGCAACCAAGCCCTTCATTTTTTTTCTATTTAATCCTGGTGAATCTCTGCCATTGTCGAGACTTGTGCTTTTTTTGCCCCATGTACCACCCACTTCTTGTGCAGGGATAACAAGCTGATTTAATGTATTACCTAGCCACCACCTCACTCTTTAGTTCAGGTTTTTTTTTTTTTTATATTTTTCTTCCCGTTCCATCTCGTACTCTTCTCTCACCAGACTGGTTTTCTCTCTCCTGCCCCCCACCCCCTCCTCTTTCCAATTGAATCAGGGTTTGACTGCACCATGGAGAAAAAAAATCTGCCACTTTATATTTCAGTACAATCAGGAACAGATGTGTCCTGCCCCTGTTTGTCCATTTGGGGGCAACATTGCCATGCTTCAGAGGTTTAACTGTGCCAACAGGGTTGGAGGATCCCAAAGGCAATGTCGGACTTGGAGCTGTGCGATAATAAAACTTCAATGGTTTATCTATTTTTCATTCAGATCGACAAAATCTCTATTTTTTGGCTTACTACTGACAATTTTCATTTCAGAAACCTGTTTTCTGGAGCCTTAATGTTTTTTTTCTAATTATTGGTGACTTCTCAAAAGAACTGCTCAAACAGTGACGCTGCTGGAGAAATCAGGGATAGTGTGAAGTCACACGGGACTCGAGACATTTCTGAGGAGGAATTGCAAAGGCCTCTGGGAAAGAAATAACGGATGTGTCCTCCACAACCAGAACTCTCACCATTTAAGTCAAAAATTGTACTATTGACATCTTTCACACCCCTCTGCTTTGCTTTCTTTTGATGTTCGTCTTGAAGGGGTCTTTTGTATGTTTCATCAGGAGATTCTGCTTGTGTACGCAACCCAGTCTGAGAGAATTGTCGCATCCACCATTTTAAATTGTTTTATAATCAGAATTATGTAATGATGTAACTACTACATTGAATGAATTGTTGCTTTTGCATTTTCACAAAATGGGGGGGAGGGTTCACGTATTTGTCCATTCACCATCATTCTGTCTTAATCCTCTGTTTTTTGTTTTTGTTTTCCTTGAATTTGGTTTTGCTAAGTCTATCATGTTGGTCGTAATGCTAAGCTTTAATGTAGGAGCCTATATATTCATGGAGAAAGCCTAAAAATGTATAACCTAAAAAATTAATGTAACTGATTTACTATCAAGTAAGAAAAAAATAAGAATGAAATGTGGTTTCTGTGTGTTTTTTGGTTGTTGCAAAAATAGTTTGTTCTAGACTGAAACCATTGATTATGATACAGTGAAGTACTTTCAGGTATGTTAATGGGAAAAAATTTGGATATTTAAAAAAAAAAAAACCCATCACTATTAGATGTGTGACCATGCCGTGGCAAGCTACAATATAGGAAACCTGCTAGAAATGACACATCCTGCAGCTTGTCTGTGAGGTGAGAGGTGATGTTGTTTAGTCAATGATCCTTTAAAGGAAGATGTCCCCCTGTTCTCATGTCAGTCACTTCAGAGCATTCAAAGCCAAAGTGTGGTTTATTTGTCAGTGATTGTTTAAGATCAGCAGGTTCTCTCTCCTCTTCTCCTCTTGATTAGTTTGAAACTGTCGCTTCAATATTGTGTGGATTTTCAGGTTACCATGACGCAGAGAGGAACGCTGCTAACAGCCACAGCTGTCTCTTTGATGTAGAGGGACCTTTTCTCGTTTTGACATGTTTGTGTATTTGTGTGAGAGTCCAAATCTTGCTTCATGGTAACCTGAATCAAATATTCAGATCCCAAATCCCAATTTTTCTGTTTGAAATATTTGAACTAAAACAGATGTTGACAGTTGCACCTGAACTCATTCACATTAAGATGTTTGCTCTTTTCAGATTCTGTGTACGCTATATGATCTATTTTGGTTCTGTCGCAACTTTACCCCGTTATTACGTTAAGATGGCAGAAGTGCTGCACTTTGCTGAGTTCACTTGAGTATGAGTATGAACCATATGCTTCACATCCGTATTTCCAGTTGCGTGAAGCCGCATTGTATTTTTTACTTGGCCAGTGTAATCCCTTTTAATCTAGAGAACTGACCTCTTAACAGGATCCTTTCTTCTCCATCTCGTCTCCTTTTTTGTGTTTTTTTTTTTTTTTAACCTGCACTAATCAATAGCTAGGTTGATCCAAGCAATATGGTGAACGCCCTTCACATGTTTGCCTTCACCTACACCGCTCTCTCCAACCAGCGTAGAGTCAGGGGGAGGTGAGAAGCTAAAGGATGCCACCGAAGACTTGAGTCGCAGCCACAGCCGTCTTCGCCTCAGGAAGCATGAACTGCTTGTGGTTACAGTGCAGGGCTTACATGCACGTTAATGATAACTGTCAGACGATGTTTGTTTGCAATTGAGGGATGTCAGGTTAGCCATGAAAGTATATGTATCAACACTACAAAAGGATTAATGACATGAAATATTAAATAAAAATTGATTATCTTCTAGACCACAGTTGTAGTGGGCATAACTTGTTCAAAAGATCTATCTTGGTTTTTCTTTATAGAAAAAAAAATCAAGCCTTAATAAACTGTCCATTCAGAAATTACTTTGTCTTGATCTCATGAATTCTCTGTTAGTGAATAAACAGCCACCTATAGTGACCTTATACAGAGAGAGGAAGCTCTGTAGGGCATCCCCACTGCTTAAATGTCACTGAAAGGTTTTCTTTGCTTGAATTGTTTCTTTTCGTCATGCCACTCCAGTTTGAGTCTACTGTATCTTTAAATTATATCAAAGCAGACCTCTTGTTTCAACAGACTCAAGAGGTCTACAACAGAATTTGTTAGAGCACATAAATGGGAGTGCAGCAGCCTGGAATAAAAGTTTATGGTATTTCAAATTTATTAAAATAGATAGAAAATGACACATCCATAAGTGCAGGTTATTGGCTTTAGTGGCTAATTGAACTTGAGAGGCTTTAGGTTTAAATCCATGTACGTGTTTGCCGAAACTATTTCTTCGTAATCCAGTTCCTTAGCCTCAGAAGCCCTGTACACATAGTGTGTAAGCACTGAAAATGTATTATAGTTTTGGTGTTCAGCACAGATTTATAATATATTCGTTCCACAGTTGTCAAATGATTTCTTCCCTCTTTTTTTCCATGACAGGAGCTCTCCGTGGTGCTGATTTTCTGATTTGGAAGAACTGCTGGTGACATGTTTCACTCACATAATGAAGTAAAAAACAAACACTATCTGGAGAAAAATCTCATATGAAATGCTGATGGAGATTTTCTTGCGTTAAAGATGTGACTGTGAAATGTAATAGCACTTTATGTCAAACAACAATTTAAACGCTTCCAGAAGAGAAGGAGATCAAAAGGGGGTAGTTTGGCATATCTGATGCCAACCCTCAGCTCCGATATTTTCATTTGAAAAATAATTCACATCAGGTGTAGGGTCTGCAAACACTGTGTTCATGTTGCAGAGTTGCCATGTAGAGTGCCACATAAAATAATCACAAGAACAAGCAGAAAACTCAGTGCAGCTCGGGCTTTATTTGTTGTCACATCATTACAAAGCATGCGTCCAACTGAGACAAACAATGGGCAAACAATATCACATTCAGGCTCTCTGCTCTATAGACTCTAGTATCAATCTTGAGCTCAGTGCAGCATAAACCTAATACCAACAAACACTGCAATGAGATATTTGTATTTGACTCCATGCTCAAATTCTTGATTAAATTAGAGACATATATTTAGTTGATGCAATAATGCATTATGTTTGAAACAGGATGTTCAAGTTACATGAAAGTTGCCAATATTGAACCTGTTGTATGTGAAAGAAAGAAAACACAACTTTCTGCTATTTGTGGTTAACTTGATCTTCTTTGGTTCAGTCCATAATTAATGCTAGATGTCCTTTTTATTTAAAAAAAAAAAAAATTAGTTTTGAAGACCAGTTTAGTTGGTCATTC